ACCAGTTGTCATATATGAGGGTCCTCCGTTTCTTATCAATGAAGCCTGGGTTGAGGCTGCAATGAACTTTGGCTTGTATGAAAAAGTGGTTACAAATTTCTATCCCAGACTTTTGGGCGCTTTTGATCGATCAAATGCAACATATGACATCTTTATTAATCCCCAAAGAACCGGAACGTGTACATTTTCATCTTATCACGCATATTTTAGATTTAAGTTCGGTAAGCCTAAATATGATGAGATCTTTTCCGTTGCGTCTTTAAGTGGCCTGCAGTATTTCGCATCTGGAAGATTTTCAGATCTTGTTTCAGAAGACTATCTCTCCAAGCATTCCCTTTTTTTTGCTTTCCCAGCGATATTGCTTCCTTTTTACAAATTTGTCTATCAAATAGCCAACATGTTTCCTTTCAAAATTTTGACACAGCCGATATTTTTATTACAATGCAATTTAAATCAAGCTGCCAGAAAGGTTTTGGATTCAATTCCATTTCTATCGAAAGAAAGACGCGAAAAAATTCAATCTTTTAACCACGAAAAATTGGCATCTTATACCAGCGCCTTGAACGAGATAGGAAAGTTTCACTTTTTGAGATGCAATGTTGATCTTGTTGATACGATGTTCAGATATCTGGTTGAAATTGGAAATGACGCGTTTGAAATGAAAGAACATGTCTTTTTCAGAGATCTAAAGATAGCTTATGATCAATTCCAAATTGTCAAAAAGAAAAATATTTTCGACGCAGTTTCTACACACATAGCAGATAATAGAGGCATAAGAGCCTCTTTTTCCGGACCAAATTGGACCAGTTTCAATCTTGGACCTTTAGACAAAGTGTCTGCTAATGAGAGGTTTTACTGCAACCTTCCTAATTTCGAGTATAAAGATGGTGATTACGATCCTCAAAATTTGACTGAATTTTCAAACTCGATTTTTCATTTTTTGAATAATGAAATCGCTTATCAGCCATGCTTTATAGGCAAAGAGATTCCTCTGATTTCATATTTGGACTCCATGACATTTCGGGTGATGCCGGTGATAAAAAACTGTACGTCATCCGATGTCGATAAAATGGGCTTTCTCTACACATTTTTCATCAAAATATGGCGCTTATTGAACTATGAAAATCATCTTTTTATGTACCAAAAGGCTCTCATTTTATTTGAGATTTTGAAAACCTACAAAGAAATATACATCAGACATCTAAAGGCCTCTCTGAATAACGATGAAAATAATTTCAAGTTTATCAAAGATCAGATTTTTGAAAAATTATCGCCCTCGTTTTCATATTCCGATGAAATCGATCTTCTACAAAGGATCCTGCCAAAATCAGAAAAATATATTTCGTTTAGTCATTATGATGGAAAAATAACATCCGACTTGGTTGCCATATTGTTTAAAGACAACAGCTATCCTCCGAATCCAGGTGCGATGGGAAAGTTTTTCAATGTAGATATGATTAAATCCAAGATACACTATGCTTCTGAGTATGGTTATGATCGAGATCATTTTAAAAGGATGGCATATATCTTGACAGTAATTGCGACCCCTATTAGCATTGAGAATTCCAATAATACTGTGCTTCCAAAAACCTTCCTACTTGACCGACATTATTACAATTTTTTACACATGCTTTGTAAAGTATCACGTCGTCCTGATGGCGATGCACTTGTTTTATCTCCAATTTCCCGCCTGAATTTTAAACTTACCATTGCTATTAATCGCTATTTCCATCTTAAAACAGATGGTTACAATAATGATAAAGAAATCTCATCACTAAGCTTCAAAGAACAAAGACCTTTGAAGTTGATGACTTTGAGTCAAAAATTTTCTTCGGCTTTTTATTTCTTGAAGTATCTCCAAGAAAATAATTCTTTTATTTTATCTGACGCTGGAATGCAACTACTTTATACTTTCCTCCTCAAAACATCGACATATAATGATGACAACTCGCAAAAGGCTCTATCTCCGGTTATCCGATATTTTTTATTTCGGAAAGATAAAATACGCAAAGAAATTTCGACAGACAAAGATGACATTCAGAAATTAAGGCTTTTGGCAAATTACCACATCATTCTCAATCGCTTGATGTCGATTGAAAAAAGAGACCTCGACATTGGCGATCTTGAGCATGTTTTCGTGGGCGAATATCAGCCGATTTTCGCGTTTCTCAAGCTTAATACGCTGATACTTGGGAAAAAGTTTTCTAACCTGTCCAACAGCCATGGCTTTTATTTGTCGGTGATATCGAATTTTGAGCTGATAAAGTCGTTCTTTTTGAAGGAAGAAATTCAATATGTGCTTAGGATGTATTATGACCATTGGAAATTTGCCTCTTCTAAATCAGGATGCGCAGCCCAGACCGAAAAAGGGATCCAAAATTTGGTGAATGGAAATTTTCTAATCGATGGGGAGCGGATAAAACTTCCGAGGCTTCCATTCCCTAGAAATCATTTATGGAAAAGAATGAATATCACCGAAAAACGCAATGATAAACTGGAATTTACTCTACATCGGTGTCGATCTTCTAACTCAATAATTTTCAACTTCAGATACAACAGCATGCATCTAGCTTTAACTGAAAATCACGCATTTTTACTAAAAAAGGATGAGATAGAAGCCAAGCTTGTTTCTGAGGATTTCAAGCTTTGTCACAAAAAACCGAACATACAAGTTTCGTTCAACAGCAAAATGGTAGGATCAGATGATTCTATCATTGCATTTCAAACGCCCTATCAAATTTGGTGGAGTCACACAGTTTACCTTTTTGATTCACATGGATTCGAGTATGCAGTGATTTATAACGGAAATAATCTGGTTTTGAAAAACTCGTCCAAATTTGTGGGAAATGTATCGAGCGCACTTCCCTGCTCTTTTGACATAAACTCGTTCTGCTCTTTTTCTTCGGTATCGCAATCGCTGCTTGATGCCTTTTTAACGCGTGGAGTGCTTTTTAACTTTGTATTGTACTCGTACATTTTCACGCTAGAAAGTGAGGCTCAATCCTTTTATTTCTTCGACAGCTACCATGGCGCAGTAAAGGACTTTTACGCCATAAAAGAGGGAAGTGATCTGTATTTTATTGTCATCAAGGGTGAGAAATTCAAGATCCACTCTCCTGCTGGGATCGAGGGAAATTTCCTTGTCTCCTCAAACTTGCCCTTTTTATT